CCCATGATCATATTCGGAATCAGCATGGTCGATAACCTATAACCCACTAGATGTCGATCAAAAAGCTTTTAATCACCTCGAAAGGTTCCCTCGTGAGATGCAATCCATATTTTAATCAAGTATCTCGACTGAGAAACCAATATTTCTGCGAAAATACTTGTTTCACAACTGAAATACATTTTATAAGAGATGGAGTATCTTGAACGACTATCTGAAGAATTAGTCACTCCAAATAACTAATACTATACGATTGATAAGACATTCTGGAAATGTTTCATCGGCATTCCTGTGTTCACATGAGTCAGCAAAATGACGGAAGCAAATCTGTCCACCATATCAGCTGAAATTTTACTTAAAAATTGAACTACATTTGAAGAAGTGAAATCCAAAATTTTATTATTTCCTGGCGTATCACGAAATAAAAAAATTGTCTCATTGATGTTGTGTCAAAGGTGAAGAAATCACAATCGATGATATGAATTTTAATAACAGTGGCAAAACTGACTGTTTTACGATATGCTGTTGATCGAATATAATCAAAACCAGAAACTACAAAAGCTGTTCCAATTTAACTTACAAATTTTATGACTTCATCATCGTAAATATGTTATTATAAGCTTTATCTGATAAGTATAATGTGGTATACAAAAAAAGAATGAAACAGAACAGAACAAGAAGAAAGAGGGGAACCCATCATGTCTTTTTGTTTTGTCGATTAGATGTTACATTGTACAGAAAGAAAGAGAAACGAAAAGAGGGAAAAAATGCATCTGAAAGCGAAGAAACGAACTTTGAAGAAGAGCAGATGCATGAGAGAGTGATGGTATGTCTCACAAAACAGAAGTGAGATAAGTAGTACTCAGAAACGTTGGGTAGTTTTGATATATTCCACGGTTATTTTATGTAGCTGGGTAATTGTAAAGTTATCTATGTTTTTTAGTTATTCTGAAAAAAAAAAAAAAAAAAAATGTGTAAAAGTAAAATGTGTTTAAGTGTGAAGACTAACCCAGGTGCTATATTATGCCAGTCAGTGCACAATACTGATTAGTGAACTGCACTATTCATTTCTAAGTGCCTACTATGCAGCTCAAAATTCAATCTTCAGCGTGTTGAATGATCGAGCGAATTCAACACGCATTTGCTTAAAAAGCATTTCATGCTTTCGGTCAACGTGTTTGAACTGTGACCATTTGTAATATGGATGCAGAAAATCATGTATCTTTGAGCGAAAGCGAACCAACTTAATTGTCTGATACAATTCGACAGGTAACTTATTCCACTGCGTAATTACCCAAAGAAAGAATATGTTTCTGAATTTTTCCGTCTGAGTATGAAAAATATGAAGTTGACCTTTAACCCGAGACCTCAATGACATAGCAGCAGTGAGATAATTCGGTATCCTTTGAGAAAGGAACGATGATGTGAGCCCTCTTTTTATTTTAAATAATAACAAAATTTTATTCATGGCATATAAAGTTTCAATAGGAGTTCATCCAAGAATTTTTAATACCTTTTCTATTGAACTCAAATGCATAGCACCGCTAACAATTAAAGCAGCTTTATACTGTATGTCATATATAGGTTTGAGATAGAGCCGAAGGTACTGAATAACGTTTGTTTTTCGATGCAAATCTTTCAGGCAAGCATAAACTATGTCCGAATAGGTTATTACTGGCATAGCATAAGATTTAGAATTTGATCGAGACTGGATGTACTAAAAATATGTTTGTTTCTTCGCATTAGGTAGAGAATGTAGTTGCATTTTTTGCATATTTTTTTAACATAAATATGTTAAATCCGTGTTTTGGCATCTTCAAAAGCTTTATGCTTAATACCATATATAACCCGATCAACACGAGCCGGAAACTGTGTACTTTCATGTCCTGTTACAAACCCATCTTTCACTTCCATTACGTTGGTGACGAAAGGAGTTTTGGGAAATAATATGGGAGGAGCGTGTCTTTGTGTTTCGTTTCGAACAAAATCCATCTATGTTTGAAAAATATATTGTGAATTATAGACGATTATTGATAGAAAAATGAGTGCGAATAATAGGTCTTAGTACATTACACTTTTCTACTGTTCAACACACGTGTCACTTTATGTCTTCCATTTTGAAAAAAATTTACAAATTGTTTTTTGTACCAAACAAAAACTTTTTTTTATTTTATTATAAAATTACAAGTAAAGATTGAAGACCGAAAATGATGATGTCATAAAAGTCACACGTATAAATGCATTTCGAATATCTTCTTCAGTGTACGTATGTGAAAGGATATGAGAAAAACATGCAGGTTATATAGGCAGAAAGGACATGTTAACAATAAAAGTAAAAATAAAAATAATCAATGAAAATACATGTTAGAAATAAACAATGAAGACTGTTTGGACAGGAGCGGATGAGAACAAAAAAAATTTTTTTTATTTTTCGGAGTGGAACGAATGATAACAGAAAATGGATGTGTATGGTAAAATGTATGACGATTTCGTTAGACTAAATGATGAACCATCAAGAAGCCGCTATAATAATAACCTCAGGCGGTGACAACTGCAATAAGAGATTTGTCCTAATTCTCGGACAACCTAGAAATGTGATTTTTCGTCTCCTGAAGCAGATCCGATGATGCTTCGAAAAGCTTTTAAGCGGTTTTGCACTTCAGAGAGCTCAAAAATATCAAAAAACATTTTTGGGTAAAAATCATCGAAAAAAGTTTTCTGGTATTTTTGATTTCGCGTGAACGAAACATATTAGACGTATAAGGGTAGAGGCAAAAACGGAGCACTTTTTTAGGCGAATCTTTTGCTGAATTAAAAGTTTTTTCAGAAAATTTTTTTAAAAAGATTTTTTGGCGGATTCGTGTGCGTTGTGTAAGATTGTTAGTAAGGTTGTCAGTATAGTGGTTCAGGTCACTCTAGTACCATCTCAAGTCGTATAAATGCATCAGCACGGGTATTTAGCCAGTTTTTGGGTAAAAATCATCGAAAAAAGACGCTTTTGGTTTCGCGTGAAAACGAAACATATTGGGCGCATAAGGGTAGAGGCAAAAACGGAGCATTTTGTGCGGTGAACGTTTTGCTGGATTAAAAACGTTTTTGAAGAAAACTAAAAAGATTAATGGATTGGAGTTTCTGAGCTATTGTTTAAACAAAAATCAACAAAAATACTTTATGGTAGTTTTGCGCGTAAAAAGTGCGCATTTGACATTCGATAATGCGTGGTGAATGTGAAGGGTGGTGACAGTGAGTGGTGGTGGTGGTGGCAGTGAGTAGGGAGAGAGACAATATACAGCGTTTTCGTTGGGAGTTTTTTTACTCTATGTGGTTGCATGACTTATCTGCGGTTGAAGTATATGCTTGGGTGGTTCCTTTCTTACAAAAGTTCTGGCAAGGTTAGGTGTTGTGCGAAAACTGAATATGGGCGTAATAGGCTCAAGGGGTGTGTCGGCATACATTTGCCGCCAAAGGTGGTTGAAACGTGTGACAAAACGGTTTAAAGATGGCGTGTAGGAAAAATGTATTAGCAGGTCAGTAACCCAGTTGATGGGACACCGTTGTTTGATTGACGGGTCCTGCTTTCTCCAGTCTATCTGTCGTAGGTGAGTCCGAATAGGGTGGTATTTGTGAAAAAGCTCGTCCTTAGAGGAGAGTTTTAAGTCGTTGAGGAGACGCTGGAGTTGCTGGTCTATAAATACCGGTGGGTACCTGTTGAGGAGTAGGCGCGTGCGTATTCGTGTGAATTCCGCCTGACACGCCTCTTGGTCCGAACATATCCTGATGGGCACGAATGAATGAAGCCACAGGTATATTTCGCTTGACATGCATTGGGTGTGAGCTGTCAAATGGCAGTAAGTATGGTTGGACTACCGGTTTGCGGTACACGGCTGTTGATGCACGCGGAACCTGTGCCTTGATGAAAACATCGAGGTACGCACAGCTCTTTCCAATTTCAAACGTCAACTTGATGCTAGTGTCTTTGTTATTGAGAATGCCTAGCTTTTGTTNAGGGTAGTGAAGAAGATATCATCTCTAAAACGTACATACATCTCCTCCGCTTGTCTTTGTGACGCCAAAAAATCGGCTTCCCATTCGGCCATGTACGCATCAGCGAGGACCTGAGTCACTGCTGATCCCATGGCGCCTCCCCTGGTTTGCCTGAAGAAGTTTTCCTCGTAGCAAAAATAAGAGTTTCTGAGCACATATCGAATAAGGATTGCAAATGTGTTAATCGCGATGCCGACAATCTTTCTGTTTCCCATGCGTGCAAGCATTCGGCATATAGCTGCTATAGAACCTTCCTGTGGTATCATGGTGTAAAGGTCGGTTATGTTGAAAGAACATAAAAGAGTCGGGGGAAATTGGTTGTTTGTCAAGGACGGAGAGAAAATGGAGTGTGTTTTGTAGATTATAATCGGATGTGTATTTTTCAAAAATGGGGCGAAGTGTTTGATCAAGGAACTTGGAAAGCGGAGCGGTGGGGGATTTTATTCCGGCTACTATGGGTCGAAGCGGTTCTCCTAACTTATGATCCTTTGGGTTATAGTACAGGTGTGGTAATTCGATATCTTTGGGGGGTTTAATTTTTTCGAAAATAGTGGATGAAATTTTTTTATTCTTAACAAGTGATTTGAGCAGTTTTTGGGTGTCGGAGTGCATGAGAAAGAGAGGATTATCCGGTACCTCGACGCACGCATCCGTTTTCAGCATGTACGCTTCTGACTTTCGACTAACGTTTGATACCGTGTCCAATTGTAGGGCTTTGGATTTATCGGTCAGTCGGAAGACAGTTTGCCCATTTTATTGCTGTTTTGCAAGTGAATTGATAGTACGCTGAACGGCTCTATCATATGTCTCTAGAGAGTGTTCACTTGTAAGTAGTTGGCTAATGTCACTTTTTACCATCTCGGAAAACCTATCGATAGTTTTAAGTATTGGTGGATTTCGG